TACGGTCTGAAGAGGAGACGACGACATGTTTAGTTCTGACTCCAGCAATGATAAACATGTTCCTCTTCAACACGAGAAAGCATGTGTTTATTTAGTTTTTAGTTTATAGTTTTTGTCATTTTGAGGGACTGAATAGCCAGCACATTATTAACAATATAAAAATAAGACATAATAAAATATAAGACTAACACACACAAAAGTAAAAAAAACCACCACCACACAACAAAACAAAACAAATGAACAATAAATAAATGAAAAGAAGAAGGGTGGTGCAAAAATAATTAAATATTGATATATCTTATTGTTTAGTGTGATGATACAGTATCAATATCGTGAGCTCCAGTATCGATATATCGCCAAAAGTATTTTTTTGTATATTTTACCAAATTATTTTGTTACAGCTACAGTTTTGTTATTTGTTTAGAGGAAGGAAACTCGTTTATGCGACACATTTGACATTTTCACTGTTTTGATGATTAAACTGTTTGTGTTTCATATGAACTTTGCACAAGAAGTGGTTTAACAAAGACTTTTAGTATCACAGACATGATTTAAACCAGGAGTGTCAAACTCATTTTGGTCCGGGGGTCGTATCCAACCGACTTTGATCCCAAAGGGGCCGGATCAGAAAACTCATGTCATATAAACCCCAAAAATAACAATAAGTTCAAATATTTGTGCAGAGAAACACAAATCTATTACAGAAATCTTTTTTAATTGATGAATTCTTTCTTTTACAAAATATTATAATATTATGAACAACCTGAAACTTTAAGAAAAATGTAATTTTAACACAATGTTTTAACATGAACTTGTATGTAAATAGGAATAAGTCAATTTTTCTTAGAAAATCCTGCACTCGGCTCCACTTTTCTCATGTTGGACATTTTTCTGATGAGGGTGTCACGGTCAACAGTCAAAACAATCGTCCTTTAAGAGCGTTTGGAAAGAGACAAGTCTTCATTTGTGCTGCTCTGGTGGGAGGGGCCACGTACAGAGACGCTGGAGACGCTGCTGTGATAAACACCACAGAAAATTAACAAGATTTTAATAGAAAATATATTCTAGCTGAGGGCCAGATTAAAGGTCTTGGAGGGCCAGATCCGGTCCCCAGGCCGTATGTTTGACACCCCTGATTTAGAGGAAGGAAACTCGTTTTGATGATTAAAATGTTTGTGTTTCATATGAACTTTGCACAAGAAGTGGTTTAACAAAGACTTTTAGGATCACAGCCATAATTTTGATATTATTTTTTATTGAATCGATTTCAAATATATCGTATTGAACAATAAATTCACTGTATCGAGGTATGTATCGTATCACAACCTCTTACCCAGCCCTGGGGGGTTGTGTGTAGTACAGCAGTACAGTAGAGTTTCTCAGTGCGGTGTTTGCATGTGTGTATTTACATTTTAGGGCGGACAGATCAAATTTGCATTTACAAATTTTCTGTTGGTCCGTGTACAATTTGTTCTTTTGAATTTCAATTAAGAATGAAACACAATAAAATGGAAAAACAGTTTGTTGTTTTAGTGTCAAACAAAAAAACAGATTTTGACCTCTATTTCCAATATTTAAAGTTTATTTCAAATAACACCAATCAAAAAACAGTCCTGGTGCCTATTTTAATTTAGATATTTTATTCTCTCTGGTTTATTTGCCCCGGAAGTTCTGCTGCTGAAGGACTTACCTGAAAAATCGTTGCAGTTTTGTGGACAAACCTGTCTCTTCTTTTATAGCAGCGCGTTTACGTTCGTGTTTTAGAAAATCATTGTTGAACTGAATGACGAGAAACTGAAGCAGCGATAAACTCTCCTTTGTTTCAGCACTGACACCGAACACACGACACGTTAAGCAGCAGAACTTATAATAAAATAAAAGAATAAGAATCAAAGAAAATAGGCAGAGGCAGTTTTTTGATTGGTGTTATTTGAAATAAACTTTAAATGAAATATTGAAAATCGAGGTTGAAATCAGTTTTTTTGTTTGACACTAAAACGGAAAAATGAAATAAACAGTTTTCCCATTTTATTAGTTTTTGTTCTTAATTAAAACTGAAAAGAACGAATGGCACACGGACTTCTGTTCCCTTATGTCTTCTTTTGTTTTCTGTTTTTTTTTTTTTAGAAAGCACAGGTTTATTTTTAAATGACCGTTATTGTGCGCTTTGGGTCTTTGAGGTCATTTAGTCCCTGGGGGGGATGTGACGTTTTAATTAAGGTCGATTTGCCACACAGCAGTAAACAATTCAATCAATTTTGTTTTGCGTACAATGAATTCCTCCTCTTCCATTGTATAAATTTTGAAAAATCAATGTTCACATATGTCTGCTGTTTTGGCTTCACTGAAAGGTGAGAGATTTTCATACCTCAAATACCTACGTCATCCTTTTGAGGTTTGTTAAACAGGTAACACAGCTTAAACCGAGCTGACAAAACTATGTACTAGTGTGAGCTCATGGTGGGTGGTGATGACAGTCATTATGCTCTCTTGATTTCACTTGCCAAAGAAGCTACTGTGTTTTTCGGACAATAAGTGTCACTTTTTTTCATGGTTTGGGTGTTTTCTGCGACTTATATATTAAAATTTTCAGACTGACAGCCACAAGAGGCTCTAGTCTTGTGTGTGAGTATCTGCTGCTCCTGTTCCTCCACTGTCACTTGGCTCTACTGCGCATGTCTCCTGTATAAAAAGCCGCTATCTCGCTGCAAATAGTGAAATATTCAGCCGAAAACGGTAATCGAGCAGCAGAAAGAAAGTTAGGAGAGAGCGAGAAACTTGTGAGGGACTGGCGGAAAGCGGAGATGTGGAGAACAAGCATTTGAATTGATTACAAACTCTTCTACCACCCACAAACTGAAAAATTAAAGCCACATAGTTTAATTTTGTGCAGCGTCAAGCGTTCAAACGGAACTTTATACCGTATTTTTTGGCCTATAAGTCGCACTTTTTTTCATGGTTTGGGTGGTCCTGCGACTTATACTCTGGTGCGACTTGTAAAAATGTTTAGACTGACAGCCGCGAGAGGGCGCTCTAGGCTCGTGTGTCAGTATCTGCTGCTACTATTACTCCTGTACAACTCTCCCTTCACTCTACTGCGCATGTCTCCTGTATGAAAAGCCTGAAATCTGCAGCCGAAAACAGTAATCGAGCAGCAGAAAGAAAGTTTGGAGTGAGCGAGAAACTTGTGAGGGACTGGCGGATAGCGGGGATGGAGAACACAGCTCCAAAGGAACCGGGAGGATGCGCCGTGAAATTTTCCTGAAGTCATTGGATGGATGGACAAAGCCTGGACTTCAGTGACACCGAAACCATCCTGTCGGGATTCAGAAAGACCCGAATAATTCTAACTGGAACTGATGCTGAGTCTGACGACAGTGACACAGAAGAGGAAGCGGCGCAACGTTTAACTCGTGGAACTCGTGGATTATTGAACTTTCTTCACAAATAAACCGCATGGGACTTTAAATGAACCCAACAGTGTGATGGTGAGTGGTTTTGTTTGTTTGTTCGTTCACGGTGACTCTGGGCTTTGTTCAGTTGTGGCGTGTAGGGAGGGTGCTGTCTGGGACCAACGGATTGTCGGCGTGTTCGCAGTGACTCAGTTGTTCAGTCGTGTCTAGGAAGCGGCACGTCGCGCTCGCTTTTTCGGTTCGTTCCTCCGTTCCGTTCCTCGTCGGCGTGGAGTGATGAGTGTGTCTGTGGGTGTTTTCTCTGTGCGGTCGCTGTCTGCTCCGTGTGTGTTTGTGTGTTCTGTGGGTGGTGCGGCTTTGTAGTTTACTGAAGTCGTGCTGGGACACCTGAGTGGATTCGTGTATGGGGCGCTCTGGATTGCGGGGCGCGAGGTCGTTTTTTGATGGGGTTGGAGGCTTAAGAGCGCGTCTAATAGCCCGGAAAATACGGTAATTTATTATAGTTCTATGGAAGTTGCTCAGAAGTGACACCGAGGATGAAGAATTGAATGGATTTAGTGATTTGGAGTGAGATGGAGAGTTTGTTAAACTTGTTCTGTTCTGTTGTTTATGTTATAGTTTATCTGAAGAACTGTTCATATGTGACGTTAACAGTCTGTTGTTCTCTGTTCTATTGTTTTTACTGGAACTTCACTTTACACAGGAAATGTCGGTTCCTGGTCTCTGATTTTATAAAATAAATTTCCCCCCAAAAATGCGACTTAAATATGTCTTTTTCTTCTTCATTATGCATTTTTTGGCTGGTGTGACTTATAGTCCGAAAAACACGGTATGTTTGTCTATAGGGCCGTTCACACCAAAGCGTCAAAAAACGCCTTGACGCCTCTATTTGGACGCCTTTGCATTGGAGTTTAGACGCCCTCGACGCGTGTCTTTGACGCCGTGGACGAACGGGACAAAAATACTTGACGCGCGTCCGTTGCCCTAGAAACAAGAGCCCGGCCCCGATCTTTTCCCGAAACAATGTCAGACCAGACTGAGAGAGTGTTTTTATGACATAAAACATCAGCGGAGGAGATCGGGTCGACGACTGGGGCGGATATATATTTATACTCCGCTAATGACACTGGATCAGTCCCGGTCTAGTCCTGGTTTGGTCCCGGTCTAGTCTCGGTCTAGTCCTGGTCCGGTCCTGGTGTATTCCTCGCGATCGGCTCGGTGATTGTGGTGTATATATTTATTCTCTGCTCATGTTTGTGGTTCTCGTTCTGGTTCTCGGGTCTTGCTTCCTGATAATAACGTCACTGCGTCTCTGGATACTCGTCCCTGATTGGTTGACGCGGCGCGTCTGACGCGAAAAGCATTTTCAACTTCTTGACGCTGACGCCTTGGACGCGCGTCTTGGCCGCTGACGCCAAAACGCTCAAGACGCGCCGCGTCGACGCCAGATTCGCGCTGCGCTGACGCCGAAAACGTGCCGCATAGACTTTACATAGAAAGTGGACGCTTTGACGCCTTGGTGTGAACGGCCCTTATGTCTTAATAAGATGGAAAATCGAGATACTACAGACTGTTACTGATACAAACCTTGGGTAGAGGATGGAGTTGAGCAGCGTGAAGAGCAGCAGGGGCAGCTGGGAGAGCAGGGTCATCCAGTTGTTGAAGTAATACTCTTTGCGCACCACCACTGTCCCGTTGCTCCATTCCGTGGTGTTCAGGCGTCCCTGGAAATACTGAAACAAACAGAAACGCGCCGGGTTATTCTGGGCCCGCTGGAGTCAGCCGGGGACAGCTCCCTCGACGGCTCCATTTTCCATCACAACTATAAACAGCATGTGGTAAACTATTCAACGGTTTTGTTTTGATAACAGAAAAATAAAGACATGATTTATATTTGTAAAACATAAACCGTGAGATGCGCTGTTGCATTCATAATAAATGTTTACTACAAGCAGACGACAGAAAACTGCTTAATTAGACCAAAAAAAAACCTTAATATTCATGTTGAAAATGATTTAATTAAAACATTTAACTTTCCAGATTTGTTTCTTGGTTAAAATGACTTCCAAACTTCAAGTGCGTATCTTGCTGTGGATAAATGGGGCCAATATGGGTTTATTTTTCATTTTTTTGCCAACACGATAACCTGCTGCCTTTGGCTAATATTACACTTATATTTGCAGATACAATTTTCTCTATTTCCATTGTTACTCCTGAGGCCCCGGCCACAAATTAGAGTTGTTTTCGTTGTGGATGCAGTGATCGTCCACACTAATCCGATTGAGAACGGCTCCAGAGACGGAACGATCTGGTGCCTCCAGCTCCCACGAATTCATCCGAGTACAGATCTGATCCGGCACCGTGTGGACGCCTGAAAACGCTGATACTCTGATGTAGGTCTGTGCACCGCGAAGTGACTCACCATCAAAATGCTAAGAGGCTAAAATATCTGTCCATTCATATAAACGTGTGTCTGTGTGTACGACCTGCAGACGTATAATCTCTGAAAAGTTTAACATGAACCATCTCCAACACGACAGAAACACAGAACAGACTCACCATCAGCAGAACACCCCTCTGTCACAGAAAGAACACTCATATTCCACTGAGTCGTGTCCTTTAGTCCGACAGAAGCTGAACCGCATCAGTGACACAAGGAGCGAGCTGTTTTTTGAGCTCAGTTTACGCAAATGAGCCATGTGGTTTTAAGTTTCGTTTCTGTAAACTCTTAAAGGTTGTATGGAGGATTTTTTTTTGTTTCAAACTGTCAGTGAAAGATTAAAATACAATAACAGAGACGCAGCAGCTTTGTAATTATGATGACCAAAAAAAAAAGAACGAAAATCTATCAACTGTGGATGTAGTGAGGTCAGATAAACATCAGCCAATAGAAAACGAGGCTCCCTCATTTTCTATTGGCTGTTAGGTTGTCAATCAAACTCCCTAGTATAACTGACTCGTCGGAGCGCGGGGATTACGTGGTTTACGCAGCGGTTCTTAGAGGCATTTTCGAACTGTCGCTTCCTCGCATTTCGCACAAAGTTTGTCACGACGGCGGACGAGAATCCACGACCGGTTCGCCGCAAAAGAAAGTCGTTTTTTGAGGTCACTGAAAGAAGAAGAGAAGTGGAAAAGTAGCAAAGCCAAACTGAGGTGATTCTTGGAGATCTTGTCCAGCGATGGCGCGACCGAAGCAGACGAAGAGTCTAAAAACTGACGCGTCGGTCGCTGAATTACTTCTAGACAGGAAACTTCAACAGTAATTCTGAATGCGCACAAGGACTGTCGCTGTATTTCTCTTCCCTTAAAAAAATCCTCTATACAACCTTTAAGACAATATACTCAAAGCTGTGTGGATAAGGAAGGATTGCGGACACAGAAACGACGTGTGTGGATGCACGTTTCCGATATGGTGATACGCGGATTTGTTTCAGTGTAAATGGGGTCTGAGTCTGCTCGAAAAGACTAATCACAGAGAATGTTGAAGCACAAAAGGAATATATCAGTACTGAATATCATTATCAGCCAAAACCGATATCATAAAACCCACTTTTTTAAGTTTTATGATTAGTCATGCACTATAGATGTATTATGTAGATGTAAAAGTGTTGTGTTTGACATTTGTCTTGTTGGTTGATGATTGTTACTGATGAATTTGGTAAACGTACATTTAAGAGGATTTTGATTTGAGTATTTTCAGAAGATAACGATGAATCTTGTATTTATGGAAATTAGAACGAATTCATTTTGATTGTTTTAAATGTTTAATGATGAACTGTATCATGGTTATTTTAAGGAGAAACTGTTACTGATGAAATGTTAGAGGAGTTGTTGTTGTTGTTAGAGTTGGTCTCTTGTAAAATAGTTTCTTTAAATGTTGTTTTGAGGACTGCAGATGGAAAGATGCTTGTAGCTAAATCTGGCACAGAGCATTTGCATTTTCTCTCTGACATTAATGTTTTCTTTGTACTGTTCTTGTTTTAAATAAATAAATATTGACCAATACCAGAGCAGATCCATCGCCCATCCCTAATAACAATTTTACAGCCAATAAAGCACTCTGGTTTTAAGAGTGACTCAATGATGACCACAAAATTCCTGCTGTGTCGTGTCGCTCAGTTGATTTAAACAGGTTTTGGTGCTCGTCTTTCTACCGGTGGAGGCGGGACGACAGCGCCATCTGCAGTCAGACTTCCTCAGGACAGTATCCCAGGTGTGTGCGAGTGAAAAAGTCCCTCGTCCCGGTTTATCGTCCTGTGGGCATGTTTCTGTGTTTCAATTGCCTCTTTTATCCAGCGACGATGTTTGTTTTCCTCTGTGCCAATGATGTTTGCTGCGTCCCAGTCCAGAATTGGCTCTCGCTTTTACACTGGTCACAAATGGACAATTTAAGTTTTCCTCCACCGTTTCCTTTTTGCATCCTTTTTTTCATGTACCGAACACCCTTCCTTTTACCACGATGTATGTTTTATAGGCTCTATTCACGTTTACGTCCAAGAAGATGTTTGGAAATATGCGATGGCAACTTCTGGCGAGCTCTTTCCGTGACAAAATCTAGGAAAAATGAGAAAATGTCCCAGTTTTCTTCAGCTCCACGTCATTGTACTGTTCCGTTATGTTCGGCTAATCAACAATTACAACCGCACCTCAGTTTTGATCATTTCCTCGCTGACGCACGACTCCGAGCTCATGCGATTAGAAGAGACGAGGCGCCAAACTCATGATGATTCCAAACAGCACATACGTCCGCAGTCTTCATTTTACCGCTGATCACATTTACTTTAATGGGTTTGATCACAATCGGTCGGTACAAACGAAGTCGTTATGGCATCTTTCCCGGCACAGCAACGTCACGAGACTCTGAGGAAGAGCGCAGGGAGCAGTCGACATGATGTAGTCCTGGTTTAGTCTTAATTTAGTCCTGGTTTAGACCTGACGTAGTCCTGGTTTAGACCTGATGTAGTCCTGGTTTAGACCTGATGTAGTCCTGGTTTAGTCTTTTTTTTAGACCTGATGTAGTCCTGGTTTAGACCTGATGTAGTCCTGGTTTAGACCTGATGTAGCCCTGGTTTAGACCTGATGTAGTCCTGGTTTAGACCTGATGTAGTCCTGGTTTAGACCTGATGTAGTCCTGGTTTAGTCTTTGTTTAATCCTGGTTTAGACCTGATGTAGTCCTGGTTTATTCTTAATTTAATCCTGGTTTAGACCTGACGTAGTCCTGGTTTAATCTATGTTTAGTTCTTGTTTAGACCTAATGCAGTCCTGGTTTAATTCTTAATTTAGTCCTGGTTTAGACCTGATGTAGTCCTGGTTTATTCTTAATTTAGTCCTGGTTTAGACCTGATGTAGTCCTGGGTTTTATTCTTAATTTAGTCCTGGTTTAGACCTGATGTATTCCTGGTTTAGACCTGACGTATTCCTGGTTTAGACCTGATGTAGTCCTGGTTTAGACCTGATGTAGTCCTGGTTTAGACCTGATGTAGTCCTGGTTTAGTCTTTGTTTAATCCTGGTTTAGACCTGACCTGTAGTCCTGGTTTAGACCTTGACGTTAGTCCTGGTTTAGACCTGACGTAGTCCTGGTTTAGTCTTAATTTAATCCTGGTTTAGACCTGATGTAGTCCTGGTTTATTCTTAATTTAGTCCTGGTTTAGACCTGATGTAGTCCTGGTTTAGTCTTAATTTAGTCCTGGTTTAGACCTGATGTAGTCCTGGTTTAGTCTTAATTTAATCCTGGTTTAGACCTGATGTAGTCCTGGTTTAATCTATGTTTAGTTCTTGTTTAGACCTAATGCAGTCCTGGTTTAATCTTAATTTAGTCCTGGATTAGACCTGATGTAGTCCTGGTTTATTCTTAATTTAGTCCTGGTTTAGACCTGATGTAGTCCTGGTTTATTCTTAATTTAGTCCTGGTTTAGACCTGATGTAGTCCTGGATTAGTTTTAGTTTAGTCCTGGTTTAGACCTGATGTAGTCCTGGTTTAGCCTTAATTTAGTCCTGGTTTAGTCTTAATTTAGTCCTGGTTTAGACCTGATGTAGTCCTGGTTTATTCTTAATTTAGTCCTGGTTTAGACCTGATGTAGTCCTGGTTTAGTCTTAATTTAATCCTGGTTTAGACCTGATGTAGTCCTGGTTTAGTCTTAATTTAATCCTGGTTTAGATCTGATGTAGTCCTGTTTAAGTCTATTAAAACAAACTCTCGGTCGGAAAAAAGAACCTAATAAAATAAATTATCGGAAGACCAAATGAACCTTTACCTGGGCTCCTACAGTTGCACTTTCCCATTATAAACCCATAAAACCGAGTAACAATAAGCCATTAGAAGCCTCATTGTGGCGCTGAGAAAACCTGTGATAACCTGTGATCACCGAGGCCTGTGCTCCGTCAGTAAACATCTGAAAATAGCCCGTGTGAGGAGCAGAACATTCTCTTCATGTGCTCCGTCCCACAGAGCGACTGAGGTCATGAGACGCACGGGGGATTTAGGGGTCCCACGGGTTAAGACTGGAAAACCAAATATGTGTCAACAAAAGGATTAAAAAGGCTTGTTAGCGTAATACTAACCTGTGTGGAGACTTGACTTCTTATATTACATAAACAGTTCACTTTGTGCCTTTTCGTCATGGAGCTTTAAAGACTTCTCCGGTTTAAAGTTATAACAATGATCCATGTATGTTATAGATCAGGAGTCTCCAACCACAAAAATAAAATGCCACAAGCTACTTTTTTTTTTT